CCTGTGGACCGTTTGGCTCTTCACCTGGCTGAGAGTGTCAAGAAAAACATCCAAGTGGTTAAAGTCAGCCAACATTTTGTGCTTATTAATGTTTCGGAATTGACAATGTTATGTGAGTGTTTTTTCATCGTTGATAGTCTAGACACATGTGTAAAGAAAATTGTATGCAATAAATATACCGTAAAAAAAAGCAATGTTGAACATATACCGTGTCTTGATTGGCAAACCAAAAAACCCAAACGCAGGAATGAACCATAAGCATACAATTGAAATTTTGCGGTTTACAAATGAAGACACGGCGCGTGTGTACAACAATCAAAGGCAGCAAAAGAAAAGTATGCCATGCTATACTATATTATTTTCAATCTAAAGGCTGAGTTGAAAGCTTCAACTAAACGAAAATGTCGAAAATTTAACTGATTGGCTGTTGAGTATGTAGGTCTGTGCGAGTATTTGACGGGTCGTTGTCACCTCAAAGGTTTCGAGATGAGAAATATCGAAAAAACCGTCGCCTCGCACGAGCCTACCGCTTGAGAAGAAGGCAGCTTTGCGTCGATAAAACAAAATTACAGAAAACAAAAAATACACGCTTCGAAACGCTGGAATGCAACGGCAACGCTCGAGACATTGACTGTATTTTTACGTTTTGAATAACTTTATTTACGAACCAAACACTTGTCTGTCCGCTCCATTCTCTCAATATCGCTCTCTTTTATTTACTTTTTTTTTTGGTCAATCAACAATTTACTCGCATTCGCCCGGGGCTCCTTCGAATCCCCGTGACGTAGGAACAAACCAGACCTGGAAGACCTACGCCAAGTAAGCGGCGGAAGGCGTCAAGTTTAGCCACTTTTTTTTCCTCTTCCTCCCAACACCAAAAGCGGCTAAATCATCGGCCCCCCGCCTTCCGCACACCATTGGATTTACGGGCAGAATCGCAACCACACCCTCGAACCATCGGAAACAAAACCACACGCCCCGATTTGAAGTAGAAATTTGCCGATGCCCTTCGTACATTTCAATCATCACCACTGCTGGACGATGATTTCAAACCACCAGGATACTACAGACAATATTTCTAGTTCAAACAGCGAGCGCGTGGGCCTGTCGCCGGATCGGAAAAGTCACAGTTCTGTCGACGATTCATCCAATAGCGACGGTGAGATTATGCAGGTATTAGTCGTAATGTTCTGCATCAGTTGAAAATCAAAATTATTATACCATAATTATTTCGATCATCAAAAACAAAGCATTGCAGGTGATGGATTTCTTTTACTTTTTATTATAGAAAATAACACTGTCTTTTTTTTGTTTTATTCATTTACAAATAATTCGTTTCTCGTACAATTGTATTTATCATTATTATTATAATTATTACTATGATATATTCTGTATATCGTACGAAAAAACACGTGACTAGTATAGTAATACAAATGGATGAGTATTCTTTGTTCATATTGCAAATCGGCGAGGAAGACGCTTGTCATGTATACCTACGTACTTATGAACGTGAAAAAAAAAAAAAAAAAAATTCTT